CTTATTTGTCGTCAAGTAAACTCGGCCCGTTTTCAGCCAGAGGTTTCTAGCGTATTTTCCAGCCAAATTTCGTCTGCTAGTATCAAAAGTGACTCAATCTGAAAGTCTATAGGATGCGCTAAGGATAGTTTAATATCTTACACAAAATTTTGAATTAAATTGTACCAGAGCCATTCAACTGACTGATTAGATCGATCACAGTGAGCAACGGTTCACTAGGCATTCCGAATATGAAAAGATATATTCGATATACAGGCCAGTCTTATTAGTTCGAATATAATCAGTTGGAGTTTACCTATTTCGAAGTTATTAGATATTTTATGATTTCCCATATAGGTTTTTAGAAAAAAAAAAAACTATTAATACAGGCACCAAACGTCCAAAATGTAAAATTTAGGTTAAATTTGCTCTCTGCAAATTTCTGATTAAATAAGGCCAGGGGTCGCCGCCGCCACCGCAAATCCAACTAACACGGGGGCTAGGCTACATGACCTTTGTGAATGAATAAAGTTACTTTTTAATTCTGCTATCTATATGAATCTCCAGACTTTGCGATCCAACAATTTTTGTAAAAGACTGCCCTGAGAGCAAGCAATTATGATTAGGTTAAGGCTATTTAGGTTACATATTGAATGAGAATAAACCTTTCAAATAAAGATAAGAGGTTTCAGATGACCATTTTAGTTGCTTAAACATCTTTCTACGAGGATGTTCTAACCATAACTTTATCAGATTTGAACTTACTTACAAAAGAGATGACCTATCTGGGCTTCCTTTGTCGCCAAAAGCATGATCATACGTTCGAAAAATCTCAAAACCGAAATGCTCCGCAGACCTTCATCTAAATGTAAATTGCTCTATTCACTCACTCGTTGGCGCTATGATCCAATACGTTCAGACTCAAACGGGGCTGATAACGCTTCAAATGAAACGAAAGAGTAGATGCATATTGTAAGATCGTAGGGGGTAAAGCGTGCGGAACACTTAAGCGATCATCATGTACGTTTTCGGGCAAATGATTTCGCTTATTATTCCAGCTGTTTGGAGGCCCTAGTTTTCATTTAAATGCTAGGTTAAACAAACTCAGGTTCATTCAACATTTACACTAGTAACGATATTTACAATTATTCTAGCTTTAAAGCAATGCGGCCGACGATTGGCCTACCTCTGTGGATGTCTACTTCAACTAAACCCTAATCCGCATTCCTAATCCGACTGTGTTTCCACCCGAGGATTTACGACCCAGTCACGACGTAGACGATTACCAATGAGCAAAGCGCCCATTCACTATACCAGCGACTCGATTCTTAAATGAGAGCCCATTGAATTATTTCGTTTTTCGTACATTTGTTCGTTACTTTCTTCGTTAGTGGAAACGATCATTTGAATTTTGAATATTTGTATTATTTTAAATATTAGTGTTGCATTTTTCTTATCAGTTACTACTCTTAATTCAATAGCAGTGAACGGGATCATTTTGAACTGGTGTTTCAGAATACAAATGCCGGTACCCTTAGTTATTTTCTGACATTTTTGTTGCACTTATGAGGGTTTCTGTTTGCCCAAATGCAGATGCACCCGCTTCGCTGTTGATTGGGGCAGAATATTTTTTAGGGCAACGTTATCTGGGTATTGCTTCAATTCGTCCGTCGTAATGGACACTGAATGAACGGGAAAAGCTACTGCCTCAAGGACAGTTCAGGCCGTCGGTATACGAACGCTTTAAGCAGTCGTAAATGTGCTTGTTTTAGCTGTACTGACGATAGTATTAATCGTCAGGCCAATGTTTTAGGTGAAGTCGGTTTTTGGCCAAACAATACTCTGAACAGATGTCTCTGATATTAGTTCGTGTACATTTTTCATATAAAGAGCTCAGTCGTGACGAATTTAAGCGAATTGTTGTGTGCAGTTTCTCTTATTTACCTACGCCTGTCACGGAAAGCTAGTCGAATATCTGAGCGTACCAGCAGATGCTGACGGACGCGCTTGTTTCAGACGCGGTAAGATCAGTTGCGTTATCTATAGGCGTGCTTTAATCTACGGTTATTATTTGCTACTTTTCTCTAGTATATGTAATGACTTATTATAGAATCGGTGACTATCTGTTGAGTGTAAGCAGAAATCTGAATAGCATCGTCCGTTCCCGAATAGAAAGCAACGTCGTCAGCTGCTGTTTACGTGAGTCTGCCCGCGATGTGAATCTCTGGGTATCACCGAGCATGGCCTTATTATTAGGTACATTGATAGAAGACGGTGCAATCGTCAATCGTAAATTTCATCATAAATCTGTTATATCTGTAAGGTTGACTATGCTATAGTGCATATAGTAATTTTCGCATTCGTATCAAACGATGCTAGCGGTTCCAGTGGAACGCTGAAATACGTTTATTAGGCATAGTTTTTTCTGCCTGCGACGTATTGGGTCGTGGTCTTCAAATGGCGCGTTTCTGATGTGTAAGGTTCATGAAAACTTCATGCACAGATAATAACTTCAAACAAACGTTATATATACATATATATATATATATATATGTGTGTGTGTGTATGTGCGTGTCGCTACAGAGAGAAATACTCACGCTCATCTGCATTATAGAAGTAAGAAAAATGTCGATGGAATGGTCAAATGAGATTGGTGTCGGCGGTAAGCCATTGCATTAATCGTTCCTATCAATGCACTAGGCACATTGTCAATGATCTAGAGTAAAAATCGAAGATTTGAGCACGGTATTCTTTTTATGAAATATATATTCTTCCTATACTACATGGTAGTCCGTAGAACAGCCGTTCGAACTGCTATCCACACCATGGCAGCTCAGCTAAACAAATCACGGATCTTCACCGGAGTATCCCAGTTACTTCATTTATTCCATTATTTGTTCGACAACTTCTATCTCCTCACTCCGGTGGTCAAAATTGAAGTGACTGACTGACAGACAGCGTGGTCGGATAATCTAGCAAAGGTCGTTGAACGACGCTGAGGAGAGAAGCCTTGCCAGTATAACCGCCGTCGCTCCATCTATGCAATCCGCACAGTTTTCGTAAAAGGTAAGCACATGCATATAACAGGCCAGGGTCACAAAAGCTTATTTACCACTCATATAATGGATGCATACTTTTTTTCAGTGCAGCATATAATCTCTGCTAGCGCAAAGACGAAAGTACTGCCAAAACTGGGTTGTCCATTGTCCTCTTATAGCCCTTCCGTAATTTTTATGTGCCGATGACCTATAATTATGCTTACCAGCAACTCCTTGTTGAAAATATTAACATTCATCTGATTAAACCTAAAATTGTACCAACTTGGCTAACCCGTTAATTTGTAATGTCTGTGGTGAAAGCTCTACAAGCGTCTCTTCTAGGATAAAATTATAATTAGTACATTTAAAGATTAGAGCTTTCAGCAATGACAGGACCAATTAAATAATTTGGAGAATAAAGTTTTCCGAAGACTGCTGAAATGCCTACATGTACATAAGAATTTGATTATTAAGGTAATTTTTGGCTTTTTATTAAAATAGCCTTTTTGTGTTCAGTTACTTCACATATACTGAAGTCTATCGCTTTTCGACAGATCAAAGGTTAGATTTCATCGTTAATGGACTAAATACCTAGTAGATTCTGTGTATAGGCTTGGTAGCTGAGATGCCGAGAAGATAGATAAATCAGCAATCCGCTATAGAAGACTACTTTAGCTACACAGAGACGGGGGTAAATTGAATTCGTGCTTCACAGATTATAAGACGAGTGGTCCTCGTTGACGTAACTCTATCCACCTGATGCCCAGTACTATGGGGACATCGTCTCCAGCATCAACAGCACTATCTGATGCTGCGACTGTATACCCCAGCCTATACTGAATCCGCCGGTATCGAGAGCAGGAATCAACTGGGCGGGCGTTCGTCGCTAGCTCATTTCGTTCTTTATACATGCACCTCCATAAACTCCTGAAACGCGTTCAAATGTACATACAGAAAGAGAAAACGGAAAGATGATTGGACAATACGTGTTCGCTTTCTCCCCCGTTCTGTCCTAAAGCGTTCGAACGGGAACCAAAATCCTCACCGTCATCATCGCCATCACCCACCACTCACCTTCTCCTCCTACGACGAGTGACCTGTTCCTACGCCGTTAGTGCCTGTAGCTCAATCGCATTCGCGCGCCACATATCTGCGTCGGGTGCGCGTGGTGACCTCTTTTCCTGCTTTGGCCTCTGGCCGTTTGCTCTTAACCCAGATATTCTGTTGTTGCGCAAACTGGCACGGATCCGAGCAATGTCAAAAGCGCTTGGCTACAACGATTGCTGCTGTCGTCGGTGCTGCTCCTGCGTTATTTGATAATTCCTGTGTGTACTGATCCAGCCGCAATGAGATTGTGCATGCGTGTGTTCGGGTCCACTTTACGAAGAGTTAGCATCGGCGTTTTTTTGCTTGCCAGCGGTATAAACAACGGACAGCGCGACCAATGACGGACGTGTGGTCTGATGACTTCGACTCCGATTCGAAGCGATCATCTTGTACAACTTTTGCCTAGCGTCTGTCGCGCTTTCCCTGCATCTCCATCTTCGTCCATATCTTCCTATCTCACCTTCTCCGTATATCTTTTCTATGGCAACTACTGCGCTTGGTAGCTGGTCGCGCGCGCGACCCCAGCCGTCCTCACCATCGTGTCGCTGCTTCTGCTGTTATCCACAATTCGACCGTTACGCCGTTAGCTATTCTCGCGGTAAAAGCGGCGCTCAGCGTCAAGCAACCGTCGGCAGCACCCCGTGGCACGCTGCAATCCAAAATCTGGAGCTAGTTAAAGCCAACAGGAGCCCGAACCGCCGTTGAGCTCCAGTTCGAGCTGATGCAGAAGAGCTCTCGCAGAAAAACACAACGACAATAGCAGAAGCCTGCACCACTGAGCTCTCCTCTCTTTTCCATAGCGACTGCCGTAGGTCCCTCCTGCTGTCGCTTTGCTCGCTGCCGTCGGTACCTTGGCAATCCAGGCAAAGGTAACGCTTCGTTTTCGTTCTTCTTTTTCTCCTGGCAAGACTTGACAGAACTGTGTCTGCTTCGCCAGCCGTCGCATAATAGTCTTCAGAAAACTACTAAAGACTGGTCTTGATGTTCAAGACTGGGCCGCTAGTGCTTTATTTATACTAGCATAGTGTTTCAAAAAGACGTGCTTACTGAATGTTTGAAAATTATTTTGTTTATCTAGTGATAACGCTATGAGACCGTTAGGCGCGGTCTAACGTGTAGTGTTTGTGCTCTCTGTAGCCCTCTGTATTTAACGGCGAGCCGGTGTTGCCACGAGAGTTCGCTATCCATCGAAGATACAATGACATATTGGCTTTAAGTAACTGAGTATAATAAATATTAGATATAGTTAAAGGGCCCGTGGCTCCGCGCAACTCGATTGTTCCGCCAGCTATTGCGGTTGACTCCGCTCGGATCAATTGCAAGAGTTCTTGTAACTGCCACAAAAAAAGAAGACACCTATTCCTAACCTGTTGTTCCAGTATGCTGTGGTGGATCGTGCCTATTTTGATTCACACAGCAATCGTAGTTGGAGTATCTGACAGTGGAACGGGACCCAAGGTACGAAGCCGTTGCATTCTCCATAAATCATTCAGACGTAGTAACCATGAGCTGCTCAATTTTTCACCGCCTCTTATAAAGTTATCCAAGTAGGGCTGAAAGTTAGCAGAAAGATTGCGTCGTTATTTTTTTTTTTGCCTTTTAGGCACGTAAACCTAAATAAATATAGCTTGTTTTTACGAAAGAGCGTAAATGAGGTGTAATTGTCTGCCATTGTAGTTCGTCTCATGAGCGCACGCTTGTAATTGCCGCACGTTTGGCTTTTAGAGTATTTTATCGAACTCGAAGGAAGTAGCAGTGGCGTTTTTTTTTTCACTTTCCATGCAATTTTATTTAGACAGTGCGATAATAGATATAGTTGTACTTCAAAATGTCCCAGAAACACCGAGTACGCAGCAGCAGCAGCAGCATAGGTCCATGAACCAAGTATAACTGGCCACTCGAGTCATGCGTGGCATATACACAGATCTATTATGCTATGAAGCCTTTTCGTTATGTTGCATACGCGGGCATGTCGTATCCATTATTTCTTACTTCGCATTTAACCTATGGGACCTGAGGGTCAGGGACGCTTGTCTTCGACCTCACGATGACCCGTTGTTGTCATCTTGTACCGATCGGATAGGTCTTCCTCCAGCTGTTCATGAAAACGCCTGGCCTAAACCCCAGCGATCACTGCTAACCTCTAATTTGTATATAGGTATCGCATAAGATATTAGTTATTTCTCATAACTTCAAGAAGCTCTTTCCCAGAAGTAAAGCTTTCTGGGTTTCCCTAAATATTTTTCGAAAGCTTTTCCGCACCATAAGGACAAAGGTAAGTTTGTTCCATACAAAAGTGCATACATAGCAGATATCACAAATGACAAAGGATATTTATGGTAAACGAATAAGGATAGCTTGATATATCCTGAGTTTTTTACAAATCAGAGCATGCACATAGTAAACTAGAAGAGACAATATGCTTGCTAGCATCGGGTGTACAGTGCTTCGTTTTAGACATAATATTATACAGAATTCAAATTTTAAATATTGACTTATCTCGCAGGATCTACTTTGACAACTTCACACTTTCATTCAGTAAGTTTTTAGCGAAAATCTCTATGTGGGGATGCTGGGCGCTGTGCGCTGAAGACAATGTCGTTTCAGGAACAGTTGTCGCAACAACGACCGCCATTGACCGTTGATGAGCGCAACAAATGCATAGCTGATTTAGTATATCGGATTGATCAGAGACGGAACGGTTGAATTATTACCATTGAGCGTCGCTCCCTCGAACAATTACCTGAAACACTAACCTGAAAGAGGCTTTAAACGCCAATCATTTAATTCGACCTCTAATAAACCTACTTTTAGGTGAATAAAAGAAGCTGAAGAATGGTGATTTGATCTGGCTGAGAAAGAAGATCTTGACGACTCTATTTCGCTCTATTATAGCTCTAAGGACGATAGTACATTTGCTATTGGCGATGATCAGTAATATTTGTTTTGTAAAACAAGGTTAAAGGGAGCTACGAATGTCTTGCCTCTCTAATATCTCTTCTATGTAGGAAGTGAGATTCTAATAACTTTCCGAAAAACAACTTCAACGTAAGTGTTTCAAAATCTCATTGGCAAAATATTATTACAAAATATGAATCTTATGGCGGGAAATAGTATATATATATATATTCACATATATTCATCACAATAGAAGCAGACACCTTTATATATTTGTGCAGCCACTTACTAAGTACTTTCTTTGCTTTGGCAAAATTTGATATAGGTCCGTCTGTGCCTCCTCTGTTGCCAAAAAAGAAATAAATGGAGTTTTTATTTTTTAGAATTATTAAATCGAAGCACGCACGTCACCATTTGGCGGAATCACAGGTTCCATGTAATGAATGTGTAGTTCTTTGGAACTTAATCATGTTGTTATGATATTCATAACAGCAAAAAGTTAAGTAAAACGTTACTTATATACCTGCATAGTTTAGCAGTCTCCCTCTGCTTCATACGTGTTGAACAAATATCACTTGCTGGCACCAAAAAAGTTCAAGTTGGCACTTTTTTTTTTCTAACGTTCCGACGTTCTTTCAGGTGCCTTCGCGACGAGGTTTTGCGCGACTGGAGACAGCTCATTGCGAAATCGCGGGAAGCCGACGACCTCTTCTTGAAATTCGAACGGTGGCAATTAGCCCGAATCCTATTGAATTGCCGGGCCGGTTCCGGGTGCAAATCGAGTTCAAACTACGAGAAACGTTCAAAGATAAACTCTCTGTAAGCAATGAGTCGCTTTAAAATCAACTTAGCGTAGGACTATAGCAGTTAACGTATCGATCGTTTCGGCTTGGTGTCTAACAGGGCACCAGCCCCACAACTGGAACAGGACGTAATTTTCATACAATAAAACGACAAGCTGAATCGGGCGCGAGGCAAACGATGTAGTGTTATATGTAGAATGCACTCATTGAAGCTTTAATGGAAGACGAAGATTAAATATACATAACTAGTACGCATTGTGAACAATGTGTCTCCAAAGTATATCAGTCGGCAGGCGTGTCGCCAGACCCACAGCTTATAGCTGCTATTGATAAATCATGAAACGAGATTCGATACTCACGAAGATGTCTATTTAGAAGGGTTGTAATACGCGCTGATGCTATCTAGTTTGCGCAGGAACGCTAGAAATGTTATTATTATGTTGACTGACTTCGACCTAGGACTGCACGTCTTTGCCCAAAGCCTGTAGACTGATAAAGTGGGGCCTAAAACTTGCGTAGATGGATAAACTTATCCTTAGTTAAAAAATATGAAACCGTTCGCAACCCGTAGTAAAAACACTCGTTGAAGCTGATTCGCCTGCACGACGAAGCCTTCTTATGTAGGCTTTTAGGTTATAGAAAAAAAAAATGTTTTATTAAAAATGGTTATTCATCTAATAACTAACATGGCTGAACCTTTACTTGCTGTACATATGTTATTTATTGCAGCTTTCGCTTGAAATGCATAAAAAATTCCATATTCTTTTTGGTCTGTATACGTGGATCAAAATCCCTTGCCTCAGTGCAACAGGCGTCGGATCTTGTACCTACGAGGATATGTGCCATTTAGAGATGTTCAATGGAACTCAGTGCCTGGACGTGATAACTAGAAAGGAGGCTGATTGCCAATGTCCATACAACAAGGTTCGTTGAAATTCACACATTTTTTAACCTGTAGTATATGAAGTACACTTATCATTTTGGGGTTTCGAATGGGGTTTCTGGTTGAAACGACAACGTCTTGCCGATCCCATCAACACATACCCGTGCGTATGATGACGTAACGGAAGTTAGAACTTCCCTACACCGGTTCTATTGTCTACCCTCAACCCCCATAACAAACAACTTGTCGCTGACATACTTTCTTTGTTTAGCCGAATATGGTACTTTGTATGGATCCATGTGGTATCACTGCAATGTATTCATTTAGCTCAAAAATCACGTTTATCCTGTACATTCTACATTGCTCTGTATAGTGCCTGAAGCACACGGAATAAGCTTTCCAAGTGTACGCGCATAACATTTGACTATCGCGCAGCATTAAAAAAAAAAACTAGAAACAATGAGCAAAAACAAAAATTTAATCCATACATTAGCCAAGATACCATGCTTTGTTTTTTCATCAAGCTTATGTTACAAATGTTGCCCTTAAAATGCTTGCTTTCGTGAACCATTCGATTGTAACTCGTTTTCGTAGTTGATCGATATATCAAACGCTCTGTATTTCTGTCTGTTTCGACATTCGTATTTGCCAATAGAAGGATCTAGCCTATTTCAAAGTTTCTTAGTTTCTAACGCGTCGCCTGTGTATTTTGCAAATTTTAGTCAGGTTTACTGTTACGATAGGCCAACAAAGAAAGCGCTCACCTTAGCCCACAATATTGTAGGCAGCTAATGTGCTACCCGTTTAGTCGCACATAAATCACGTATACTGAAAGCGGTAAAAGATTAAACGTTTCCCGTTACTAAGCGCTAAAAGCTCTTTTAATAGGTAGACAATTATATTCGTCATATATATGAATCGTCGGGAAATTTTTTTCAGTTTTCAGAGAGACAGTCTCCGAAAGTATAACAGTGTATCTACACTAAATAGCCCATTGCGGTTTCCGCGATCGAAACTGACCGAGCGATGGACTTGAAACCAGTTGGTAAATTTGACAAAATTTATGAAAAATCAACTTGCTTTTGCAAACAGTCGTTTTCTTTCAAATCTAGTACTAATAATAAATAAAAAAAAAAAAAAACAATAGTTAAGCCTTGCTTTGTGTCATTTACGCAGTATACTTAAAATGCGTACCTCAGAGATTAATATCTCTTATCAATACGGATACCGGTGTGGCAGTATAAATCACGCGGGTAATTGCTTTACCCTATCAATAATAGACTTAATAAACACAGAACGGTAGTTCAAGCAAGTAATTTTTTGTTCATTCACATCAGCAAACAGAATCAATCTAGAGGCCGCGTAAGTTGCACCTAATTACAAATCGCCTACCGACATAGGGCAAGCTCACCCTCTTAAGTGAAGCGGTCTGATTATTTTTCAGCTTGGAAAATTAAGCAGTAAACAGGTTATGGGCATGGCATAATAAGAAACGCAGTAATTTTTGCCGTTTTTATTTAATTTTTGTTCCTTACCAAAATACATTACCGTACATCAAACAACGCCCAAATAGAAATGTTCACAAACTCTGTCCTGCGTCTATAAAGAACCTGTATAATCGCTGATTTCCTTATTTTGTACGAAAACGATCGTGATAGTCAGCGATAGTAGTAATAGCGTTAAGAGATAAATATAATAAGGAATACAACATCTTCAGATATTTGCTAGATTCAAGAGTAGGCCAAATGTAGAAAATTGAGTGAAAAATCGTGACAGGATGAACACCGAGCGGCATCAGGCGGCTACAAGCGAATTCCTTCAATTTATTAGATAAAAACTAATTGGTGCAGCATGATTTTTATTTGGGTTTTAGGGACACTGGCGTTTACCTGCAACTGAATTCTTCATCGAAGAGGTTCCCGAACTACCTGGTTTTCTTCTCGAGGGAGATTTTCACATTAAAGCAACTGTAAAACGTGGTGACAAGCACATTGCCTGCTATTCAACAAACCTCAAACTCAATCTGCACAAAAACGAAGTCTGAGCATGCGTCACCTTCGAGACGAGATTGAATGGCGACATGATGATGTCAAAAACAGACTTATTCTGTCGCCGTACTCTCGTACCACCATACCATTCGCATACTAGTACATATATTCTCCACATCGGAATGCATGATGATTTTCATGGAATGCGTCTCGGAATAAGACAGGCCAATGGCTTTCCGCGACTCTCAAACCATCCGACGGCCACTTCCCTGACGAATCGCCGATACGTCGTCGCAGGTTTGATTTAAAGTAACGAAATAGCTTTGGTGTAGGTACTTCTACGATCGCGCTGCAGCCCGAGTTTTGCCGCTTCTCTGTAAATAGAGTCGGAAAGTTTACGAGAAACTTTGTCACTTCCCAGGCAGCTGATAAAAACTTGTATATATAAATACAGTAGTAATTTAGTTATTTTCGCAGTATTGCCATATTCATAAGACGCCAATGAGGTAATAAAAAAAGAACTTGCGAGTAACGCGATAACGTATGCGTTGTGTTTCTATACGTATAAACTTGAGATCTTCATGTCACATGGCAGATTCATCATTCTTCATTTTCTACAGAAAAATGCACTGTATAATGGAGAGCGTGTCTAAGTGCGCGACACATCTCTAATGTGAATACCTAAATATACACAAATATTAGTCAGTGAAGAACAGCAGCCATTGTTATAAGTATTGATTGCATTTAATTGAACTTGCATGGCATTTTACCATAGTATAATATATAAATTACAGTGATAACAAATGTGTTATGCTCATTGCCATAATCTATGTATGTTACTTTAACAAATGAATGGGATTTTTGGCTTGCTTGTACATATATTGAATGTTTAGGTTACACGACCGGTCTCATTCCTACAATTTAAGGTTTTTTGCAGCTTGGAAGCATTCTTGGAAGATTCATCGAACTTATACTTCCATTAAGTGCGTGTCTATTATTAATGTAATTGAAACTGCTGATGGTAGCACTGGCCTTAGCGCACGGATTTACCAATGGTCCTCGACTGTTCGTTTCGAACGTTAAGCTAAGCAGGGACAATGAAACGCTCGCCATTGAAGACCTCGCCCCTTATGCTAGCAATAGAATTTTTTTCATTTTCAAGTAAAAGAACATAGAAACAAGCAAGTGGCTTTACGACGAATATGCATATCGTATCTGAAGTTAGGTAGGGATCTGTATTCACAAGGCCATTTACAGCGTCCTTAGGAGTCCTTACTTTTTTACAAGTCGAATCTTCTTGAGCGTTAGTTAAAAATAAAACCGATAGTTTTTGAACGAAGTTATTGTTAACGCAAGCAGATAACTATTTTTTAATGACTCATTTAAGTCAAATTTCCAGTTTTCTATTTATGCTGTGGAGCAGAGCGGAACCTGTGTCATAAATAAGATCTAGAAAAACGAGAGTGTAATCTATAGCTTTTCATTTGTTGTTTGGAATTTCAGCCTAAATTGCGGTCTATGCTGTGGAGCATTTCGGGTCATTTATTGATTCAATACAGCCAACTGCCTGGTCAAAAAACCAAATTGTACTTATGACCAATCTTACATTTATTCATATACCAGACATTTTCGTCCAATACAGTATAAAGCAGCGATGCATATCAATTTCAATAATCAATACTTGGAGAGTGCTGCTCAATGTAAGCAAAGAGTAACCGATCCGACAAGAAGTCGTTTCAAGGCTTTCGGAACCTAAAAACATTTATCAACGCTGGTCTTTTGCGCAGATTAATACCCTCAGCTTAATCCTCACTAATTCGATTCACATGAACACACGTACATATTTGGAAGCTTGGTTCAACAAAAAATATGTGGACAAATGGTTGAAGGGTCCATCTTCAACTTGGCACAGAAATCTAGCTCGTATCTAAAGCAATCATTTTTGTTTCAGCTATTCAAAAAAATTTAGCTAGAAGATACACATTTTTGGTCGTAGACGCAAGCTTCCATAACAGAAAATGTATCATCATACTTGGTCTACAATACTGAAATAGGCGAAATGACTTCTCAGGTCAGAGTGATGTATCAGACGTAGCTGTGCTTAAAACAGGTAAGTGACGAATAAATGCCGCATGCTTATATTCCATCTACATCAAGGTGGATAGTGTTTGCCACCGCGATCCATTCTTGGATTGCTTGTTGTGGATCAGCTTGTGATGGCTTCGTGCTCCAGTTGAAATAAGTCAGATGATCGAAACAGGCCTTTGCCTTAAGTGTGCGTGACTTGGCACCGGATATCGATGTAAATACGATGCCTCTGTCGATCAATAGCATGTGACAAAAAAAAAACACAGATATTAGCCCATTTTAATGATTGCATCAAATTTGAAAGTTGCAACATAACTAGTAGACTATACAACTCGATCGATACCATATGTATATTTGAGTATTGCATAGGGTACAAAAACTGTTTTATCGAAACTTACTTGTAGCCCTCGGGAACGGGAATTCGTGTGCCGACAAGCGGGTAACCCCGAAAATAAGCTTTGACCAGCTTTTTATCTCCGTCACTTGCCTCCTCCATGTATGTGTCAAATCTTTGTATCACGTTGGCTTTCCCTGAGAAGTGCACGGTACAAGGCAGCTGGCGCACCTCAGCCGCAGGAAGACTTTTTACATCTTCGCTGATCATCATGTCCGCCATTATAAACACCTTGATAATATCACAAAAACTAGGTCTAAGCAAAACCACATACTTGAAAGAAATAACGATATATACAATTTCTACTTTTGAAGTCAGGGCAGTGCTGTCGAACATTAAGCGACGTTTGATGGTTTAAGAGAACAGGCCGTGCAATTAAATTGCCTTCTTTATTCGTAAATACATATTTAAGTGCATCTATTTTATCACTAAAAAAAAAGATAAACGATACATAATTTATTTTGGAGGACGTCGAACTTAACAAAATCTTAAATAGCCGGTAGGATTTTAAATATTTGCCACCACTTCCTTGTTGTAGTGTAAGATAAGCCTGAGTAGCTAATCATATATTTACAAAAGAACAATGAGAAGAATGATAAAAAACAAATAACGCGAACAAATTTCACGGAGAAATACTTTTGAGACCATCAAATTTTGATTGATTTGATATAGGGCTAGAAAACTTTATCCTTTATAAACAAATCTAAGTATAAAAAATCCCTCATATATTTTGAGATAACTGGATTATATATATATATATATATATATATATATATATATATATATATATATCATGGTTAAACAATATGTAATCGATTTTATACTACCAAGCAACATCTTTTCTTTCCACGATACACTAAAGTAGAATAATCGACAAGTTTAGACCGGACGACCAATAAAGTCATCTTTATTGGTTATTGGAATTAACAGAACAATCGTTTTTTTTTTTTATCTAAATTTATACTGTATAGTTACGAATTAAATTAGAATAATCTAAAAATGTCATCGGTTTGCATTAGATCTATCACTTTGTAAAGGCCTAATCTACTCACTAAGTTGCCTGAAATCGTGAAGCAGATACCAATTCAAGAGTCTTACTGTTTCCTAAAAGGCTTACGAGTTTATCAAACGCGTTCGGATCACTGTGCCATTAACTGGGTTTTAAATACCACCTGGGTTTGCAAAGTTTCGCACCATTCGGAGCAGACGGCATTTTTTGCAAACCTTCCTTTACCCTCAGTACTTTCCCATTTAAAAATATTTCTTTTACCGGTACTTATTATTAATAAGTTTTTTGCTTACCATGTTACAATAATTGCATGCTATGTGGGAGGTTTTATTAACTTATTTCAATTAACGTTTAAGTCTTTTATTGCCAATCTTATATGCCCTCTCCAGCCGGCATCGCTTCGATAAAACACACAACAGGTATTTGATAGCGCCTCTGTCGTCTGCAGTTGTTTTTGTTGTTGTGGTGAATAACCCTCTCATATAAGTCTCGACCCTGTGTGAGTAATATCTCCGGTAAAAATCTTGATTGCGGGTGTCGCGCAGCTGCTACTGCTGCTGCTGCTGCTGTTGTTGTTGATTTCCGAACTCCTTTCTTTTGACGTAGATAAACGAGCCTATTGGTGAGATATAACATTTGAGTGGAGTGGAGTTTTCCAGGGGCGGCGGAATATCGTGCAGACAAAGCTACTGCATTTACAAGAACTCAATTGGCTCGCGGCCTGTCTGCAGTTAGTACTACGAGGTGGTCTGTGCTCTGTGTATAATTTGCAGTGTAGGCAATGTACCTGTGACGAGATAGACAGTTTGCATACATACTTCATTTGCAAGTGCTAAGCAACTACTATTCGAGGTTCAAGGTAGGGAAAAGAAAGTGAATGAATATTCAGTCTACTCCCGTAACAAGAGATTGTTGAACAGATTTTTGTTCTTCGTGACGCGCAAGAGATATCCTTTAGTAGCAGCCTGTTGGGTAGAAAAGGCTAGCTGAACGCAGAACGTCACTTGTAGGAACTGGTAATCACTGACGAGCGTTATGATAGGAACTTAGAAAAGATGTTCGTTGTCTCATCTGTTGCTGAGAGCTTTTGCGAGTTTTACCTATTTGGTTGTATGAGGCTTAACACCCTAGACAGGTCTTAAACGAGAGATAATCCTATTGACGATGATGTGTCACATTGGCCGGTTCACAGAATGGCTGTGGTGGTGGCGATAACATTTGGACGACTTCTACTGTGAATGCTACGGGATAGAAAGCACAGCAGATTTCGTTGTTTAATAGTGTTATAGTCACGTTACTGCGTTAGGTAGGAAGAAATCTACATTTATTATCTGTAGCTAGGACTACGCACACCGGTACGTCTCACATGTGTAAAAAAATATTTGGTTAACTAACACTAATAGTTAACTAAGTATTATATTCAAGTGCTGCTGAATGGTCTGTTGTGACAAGCGATCGAAAAAATACGTTTGTTCCCCGTAGGCTGTCCGTAAGCGTACAATGGACGTATGTAATGTTTCGCCGATATAAACAACTTTCTAACACAGCTGCGCAGAACGCTTTCAACATATTCGTAGTTCAGCCCGCTATGATTTTTCAAAATGTGTGTGTCTGTCAATGACTTTATCATGCATGTGGTCCCCGTTTGTGGAAGGAGCGGGAACATGTGCGATGAATGCTTCCAACAATAATCGTTGTGTTCCTGCATAAATTACTGCCAGTATGTTCATCAGTTCCCCTGTACCATATTTGTAAATCTTAAGCGGCGGAGTTATCGTCACATCATGAAAGATTCTCTCGAAATATCTCTCAAAATCAATAGCGTTCACTCATTTTTCGAACACGCTTCGTCTTTTTGTAGCTTGACTAGTGAGTATGATATAAGCAATAGAAAAAAATATGAAATACTATCAAATTAGACCTATTTAATAAGTCGATTTGATGGAGATAGGCACGTGTGGCATGTGCACATAGAAACAACTACATAAAAAGAATAATGACGGGTAATCGGGCAAAAAACAATCGACCGATGCCAGTGAGATAGATGTGGCTTTGGTTTGAGAAATAGGATATAGAAGAGAACCGCCTGCGGCGAAGATGGCGAAATATCCTGTGAACGTTGAAAAGGTTTGTTGACATCGAAAGCCTAGGATATCTAGAGGAAGCCTAGAAGCTGAGAATATCTGTAGCGAATTTAAAAGCAAGAATATATTTGCAAATGATAGTTGCCATGGTCACAAGAAGGCATCTGGACTGTGCGCCGAAATTGTTTCTAACGGACGACTAACCTCCGGTTGATAGAGACGCATAGAATCATGCCTGCGGGCTCATTTTTGACCATTCATGCCGCTCCAGCAGATGGTGTGTGTTAAGAAGTAATTAAGCTAATTTAAATGGAAATTAACCGCAAGATGCAACGAAGGTTGGTCTTACAATTGAAAACATCAACTTTGTAGCGTATTTCGTCATCTTGAAAAGGCTTGTTTATTTCGCGTCAAGAAGTGCGGATGCAAAGTGAAATGTATTGATCAAAAGGACATAAGTGAATAGGACCACGTGAAGTGAGTGTATTTTCAATACCGGCAATAGCCGTGCTCATCTAAGCCGTAAAAGTTTGCGATGCTAAAGACACCCGTGCCTACTGTCATACCTTAGCCACTCTACTTCCTTTCCCTAGACTGACTGGCTATTGAATGCAGTATCAGGCTCCTAAATGGGCCAATGAAGTTTTTTTAAATATTGACCTAGCATAACCTTTACTTTGAAGCTGGTAAGAAGAAAGTTTTACCACTAGTCAATTGTCATTCGTCCGTAGCATGGTTGATCAAGTTACGTGTGTCGATATATGGGAAGCTCTGTAAGATATCTCAATAATGACGATCAACGCGCATGTCGTCAGAGATTGTTGTTTTCATCCAGTTCGAAGTGCCACTGAAATACGTTGAGCTCATCTCAATAATCGAAATCTGTTCCTGGCTTTAGCATTGAACTTTATTCGGAACGCGCTTTCACCAGACTCTTAGCTTTTGCAGCTCTCTCTGTCGATTCAGCGGCCTACTCATTGAGACCTTTCTATCTTAGGTGAAATCAGTTTGAGATGCCAGAACGGATAGTAGCGTTTTGCCTTCAGGACAACACGGTGGAAAATGCTCGTCACTGCGTATTAGCTTCTTCATCAAGATCATTTCCATCAAGAGAAATGAAGGAAAGTTGAAGACAGCGGTTGGGTTATTACTGAGGGAAATGTCATGTATGTGTTTTGTTATTGTGAATAAGCGTCTCGGTTAGCCCGATGAGTGGTGACTAAATGGAGAAGTTCATTGTTAATTCAATGAACTCCCTATATCGAAAATATTCACATACGCACGAATACTAGCTTAACTTAATACGTAGTTCTCCAAAGTAGAACTTTTTAGTAAAACCGTAACTTTACAGAACATATTCTATAAATCGTTGGAGTCTGTAGCTGCACTAAAAGCGCTGTAAATGTAAGTCTAGAATACAGTTGATTTAAATTTCTTCTAACCCGTTTAGCCATAAATACACACGCAGACAACCCTAATAGCTCACTGAATGTTCTGTCATAAATCCAACCAAGACTACATCTGGGGATTTTTGTTTAATAAATAGATCTATAATAAATAGATCTAAATGTTTTCAAGTTGTACGAGCAACTATCTGTGTTTATCTGGCAGTCCAATATAACCCATTCATAGCGAGGTTTGTCGCTGTCGAGTGGAATCCTATCTTTGTTAAACGATCTGTTCGGTCAAATTCCGACGAACCTTGCCCTTGGACAATCTAGACACTCGTGGTACAAAACCATTCGTAGCAAAACGAAAGGTGGCCAGTGGCTTTGCGCCACGTTGGCTGACAATCTGAACCATTCTTTGACTGATTCACTGATACTGTGACAGTTTTGCTTATCGTGTTTCGAATTGACTCTAGATAGGCCGCCGGCTGTAAGATTTTTCAAAAGCTTCACGTAGGCGAAATCGAGCTCATTCGTCATTACATAAATATTATGGAGAATTGAGAACGAAGGCTATTTGAACTTTTCATGAGAAGGATCCAGATCCTGATTTGACATACACCATACACCTTGTCCAACAGGACGGTTTAATAATCTCAGTGAATAACGTCTAGACGAATAAGCTACCGCAGCAAGTCTTCTACGCAAATACCTTGTATGTGCATGGCTGTATATAAAATATTATCTTGGTCCATCAATCGCAAGTATTGTCTCAGCTAAGTAAGTTTGTGTTGCAGTTAAGCACACCAAAACGGGTCGCTTTGATTGACTGAGCTCAGGCTAGTACAAGCAGATTTAGGGCAACGTTTAAATAGATGACAAAACTCTTTCGATCACGAGAAACGAAAGCTTAGAGATATCTGCGGCATTATATTTCTACGCTTGTATTTGCGCGGCTAAACAATCTTCTATACAAATGTTTCTTCATTTATAGCTGAAAGCGGCATAACGGTAATATCACACTATGAGTTGTCGTAACGTTGAACATGACCGCCTGATCATATTTATAGTTTACGCACAAATCCACAGTACTTAGGCAACCTACATCTAACTAAGCGTGCAGGGCGCGTTCATAAAGTCAAAGTGGAAGTCCAATTTGATTTTCTGTGAAAGTTCCTGCCTATTATAGGTGTAACAATTTATGCTCAGGTCGACACTCCCCGGACAGAAGACATTATTACGTACCGGTAGTTGACTGGGGAGATTGCCAATTACTCCCATTCTCCCAGTATCAGTCTGGATGCGTGTCAAGTCTTTAGTCTCTCACTTGTGTTTTTATCAGCTAGCAAAACTTGTAGTGTGTAGAAGGAATTCTCTCCATTATCTCCCGTATTCTGTGCCGTGTTGGAGCATTGCGCCGGCCTGTGTATCTTTTGCACGGTTTATGCGTAATAACTAGCTAACGGGCAGACAGTCGGGCGATACGAGTTTTATCATTGTTTTATATCAGGGCGTTTGATCTAATCGAGATGCGATCTTTACGATAAAATTTAGGTAGTAAACTCTAGAAACTGTGTAGTGGTTGAACGATTGTATCGACCCTCTTGCACTCTTGAACCTTGTTCTACCGTGTTTGTGTGTGTGTCTAATTTCGCGGTTGCCCGCAACAAATGGTGAGCATACTATGATTCGCCAATCTCTACAGTATCGAGGGCGAAATCTTCTTTTATGATATGTATCTTATTTATCCTGCACGACATTGTAAGTCGCCTACCCAAGATTTTGTGAGTATTAGTAGCAACAGAAGGTCGTCACCGTCGTGATATTTTTGGTTTTGTCCGCGGATGAAACTCATTGAATTTTTTCCAATAGAACCGGCGTGAATTTCCCACGGTGGTTAATCCCTTTGGAAAGTTGTAGGATCAACTTCCGGCAAGTTAACGAATACGGAGGTTTGTTGTTTCTTAAATCGTCATTGTGGTAAATCTGCATGATTTGTCGATGTCAGGTAAAAGAAAAAGAAAAGGGCGGCATAATTGTCTATCGGTGCCTTGCATATATTATTCGGTACAAAGGTGCTGAATGATCGTACTCGCTCGTCACCAACTCAAAGGGATCTGATGCATAGAATACAAATTGTTTATTGAGGGTGTTATTATGTATAGTGTGGCAACCTGTTTAACGCACGAAGCTACTCGGCCGAAAGGATGATCCAGCCAGAGTGAGAATAACGAACTGATGATTTAGTATTTTATTATCTAATACCTGTATGACACTATCTCGGTTTTCATGAAAGAGAACAAAATCTGAGGAGGCATAAGTGACAGTTTCGATAAACGAGTATATGACGGTTTTGTCATAATTATGCATTAGGGAGTCATGTGTTAGAGCTGGTAAGAAGCACAAATAAAAATCGATACATCCAAAGAAAATATCTACACCTCGTATTTTTTTAGTACACGGTTTCCTACATTAGATAGATCTTTGGAATGGAATCCTGCTTTTTTCATTTTGAAAAATCACAATATAATACGCATCCGTTAGTTAGTTTCAGAAGCTCTTGCCTGCCAGCTTTATGAAAGAAAGAAGCCAGTTCTTCACGATTAGGTTTGGAAGGTTACGTCATACTGATCGTAATGTTTTATGACAAGTTTGTATACAGTTAGAAAATACTGTGCTGGTGTCCCCACTACTACGGATATAAAACTACGGATTATAATGTTCGGGTATTACGAAATTATTATTTGAGCTGAGTTTGGTAATTCAAATCCATTGGGTATGAGGCTAGATGATGTTTTGTTGTCACAGGGCTCACTCCTAAATAACTAACGTACCCGTAATTTAGTGGTTAGTTTGCGATTTGTTAAGACGACACGGTCTGATTTGGATACATGTCGAGAAGGTAAAATCTGCGCCGAATTAAAGTAAAGGAACATTACGATGAACTCGTATATGTGATTTCTTTAGCGTTACAGAGATAAACCATGTCGTTTCGAGATAAACTAGATCATTTTTCGAAATTAAAAAGTATCAAGGAATCCGTAAGTCTCCGTGTGTTAGACAATACGTCTGCAACGAGTTGACCATTGGTTATCGATGACTAATAGAGACCCCTTTACAATTTACGTATGTCGCCCTTTCGTACCGTCTACAGGACAAATGCTGCCTAGCTAGGTCGCTCCATAAAATATATTTATGTTAGAAACATCCTACAAATAATGATAATTTTTACACCCGCAACATATGCAACAAATGAGCCACTTTAAACTGTACTTACCGCATACTTATTTGGTTATTATTTCATACTAATTTAATTAATAAAAGAAAAAGTGGAATATGTTTTTTAATCCTCCAAGATGGTTAAATATACATGTTTCTGTATCTTTTTCTATAAAAGTAGTACCTATACATAGCCATGATATATAGATATGATATATAAAAACACAGCGTTACAACGATACACTTTGTAACTACTACGAAGAGTCAGACAGTTTCAGAGCTTCATGCTTGAACAGTATTAATAACGTTGGCTTGATACTGCGTTTATACGTTGCACAGGACCCCGTCCGTGGCATCACGATAGCCTCCACTAACACGTCGTCGGCGGAATCCGCTCCCTGGAGTGTTCTTATCAGGGACCTTCAGGCAAACGGCCAAGAACCAGCCACCTCAACGCGTTCGCCGACTTTGCCAGAAATAAAAGAAATTCACGGCCAGTCTAAAGAGAAAAAAAAACCCAAAATGCCGAATATTAAAGTATTCTCGGGCTCGTCCCACTGCGACCTCGCGCAGCGGATCGTCGACCGATTAGGTATCAACCTCGGTAAGGTTGTGCTTAAGAAGTTCTCTAACCAGGAAACTTGGTAAGTGCTATTTCGATCAGGCAAACTTAATTCCTTCACATATTAAATAGAACATAATAGCTTTTCAACTTCTTATAGTTAATGTTTTGAAACACTTTGACATTAAAGCGAGTCTTTGGTATGCAATATGCATTCCGCATACAAATGTTGGATAGAACTAAAGGCCTTCTACTGTTAGCCGGGAGTTAGGTTTGTTTGACTTCGGCTTGCCGGCTTCATAAGGTTTTCAACATACTCAGCAACGCTACGGTTTTGACACGGTGAAGTTCTCCATACAAGCTTACGGAAGCTGACCTTAGTAGAGGTTGATTGTTGGCAAGTCAGGGACCCTTACTAGACACTTCTCGCGGGTTTGCTAATCACGTCGGCAGTCCGACGTTAGATGAGGTTGTGGACAACGAAACTCTTTACTTCAAGCGAAGCTTTAGCTGGGCAACCGCTACTATTGGTTCCTACTATATCAATCTATTTATTGCACGTTAGTACCGTATTATCTTGGATGCTTAGTCTACACCTGTAGGTAATCAATCGCAAGCTACCGAGGGCAGTAGAACTGTCACCAGTCAATCAATGAATCAGTTTCTGTAAACTTTGCATCTTGAGGTATCTAAAATTTTATTGCATCTATCCATTCAAAAAATCTAAATATGTAAATGTTTCAAAAAATAATAACGTTGTATTTCAAAATGACCTGTAGCACAGAATGTCCTATATACTACATCAAATTGCATGCACCTGGTGCTTTAATAAGAGAAAAAAGTTCTGCAGTTTACGTTTTTTCATTCTCATCGATGATCATCTAAGCACAAAATACTACGCAGCACATTCCATCGGGCCAAGAGTCACAAGGATTTACTTTTATGCTTTGTTGTTTGTATTTTTTTTTACTCGTACTCGTAACATGCCACGGACCGCAGATGACCCACCTAAATGAATGGAGATATTTGTCTATTTTGCTACAAAGGAATTTAGCGTATTCGTCAATAAATTGAAGGCAAGCTAGGAACCTGTTCTGAGCTGATTTTTTTTTCAAATATATTAATGGCATATGTACTTCAAAAAGAAGCTGGCCTTCCCAACAAAACCCGATTGACGGAACCCGCTGTTTTTGCATCTGTTATCGTTTTGGTCACATGTAGTGTTGAGATTGGTGAGTCGGTTCGAGGTGAAGATGTATATATTATCCAGAGTGGTTGCGGAGAGGTGAATGACAACTTGATGGAACTACTTATCATGATCAACGCATGCAAAATAGCTTCCGCATCGCGAGTATCTGCCGTTATTCCATGCTTCCCTTATGCTCGTCAGGACAAGAAGGACAAGTCGCGCGCCCCAATCTCGGCCAAGCTCGTTGCAAACATGCTGTCGGTAGCTGGCGCCGATCATATTATCACAATGGATCTGCACGCTTCGCAGATTCAAGGCTTCTTCGATATTCCGGTCGACAACTTATACGCCGAACCTGCTGTACTTAAATGGATACGAGAAAACATTCCTGATTGGCGTAATGCGATCATTGTGTCACCTGATGCAGGTGGAGCAAAAAGGTGAAGTCTTGATTGAAGTACGATTGGGTGCACATATGTGTTATCTAACTATGGTCGCCATTTACATATTATTCCACAAAACCGTTTAACGGCATAGGAGTACTATTCTCTTCGTTTTGCTGTTGCCGTAATAACGTGACTGTGAACTTCCTTTCGGTTTCAGGGTGACGTCTATTGCTGATCGTTTAAACGTTGAGTTCGCGTTGATCCACAAAGAGCGTAAGAAGGCAAACGAAGTTGCATCGATGGTACTTGTCGGAGATGTCCGCGAAAAGATCGCGATTCTCGTAGACGATATGGCTGATACGTGCGGAACCGTCTGTCACGCCGCCAACAAACTGGTCGAAGCCGGCGCCCAGAAGGTTTACGCAATCCTGACACATGGCATTTTTTCTGGACCTGCTATTCAACGTATTAACTCAGCTGCGTTTGAAGCTGTCGTTGTTACTAACTCGATCCCGCAGGATCAACATATGAAGGATAGCGCAAAAGTTCAGGTGTGTAACAACAGCTTCACGTTCTTTGCCTCTCCTACGTCTTGCACACTGGAAAAGTGGCTAAAAGATTTTTATGGTCTAAACCGGATTAAACGCTTTAAGGACTTCTCTACAAAACGAATAATGTACATTGAAGTTGGGCGTTCTAAAGGTGGATACGTCTAATTTATTTTCAGTGTATCGACGTGTCGATGATTTTGGCTGAGGCCATCCGGAGAACACATAACGGCGAGTCTGTCTCGTACCTGTTCAGCCATGTACCGATGTAATTTCTATGAACCGTTGTATACGAATAGCAGGAGTGGAAAAAATCGCAGTTACGGCCCAATAAATTCCTCCGCTCAGAGAGACTTCTTTCGCAAGCAAGCATCTCCGGCATGATAAACCCGACACGCTCTTTGGGAAACCGGAGTGCCATTCGCAATATAAGCAAACAATAAATTACCAACCAGCCAAGTGGAGGAATGAGTTTACATTGTCGCGGTCTGTACAAATTGGCAAAAAGATAATGTTGAGGTCCGCGGAATTTGTTGTAAATCTTGTAGAAGGCCATTGCCACGCAACAAATATTCAAAGAGGCATAAATTTCAAAACACACACAAAAATGATATATATACACACACGAACTAATATTGATATGCATATATGTACTTAAGGGGATACAATTTAGGTAGTGAATAAGAGATTAGCTGACTACCGTGATGAGATGAATTGACTATGGATATAGATATATGGGTGCAGGAGCCTAAACGACATACTCCCTCTGGATGTTATGTAGCATCAATGTCAAAGCATCTCTGGCTACTGATTAGCATTTGTTGATCAGCAATCGTCATCTTTTTAACCATACACTAAACTCTGTGCCGCCAACATCTTGGTGCTTGATTAACAAGCCTCAATTAGCATAGAGACTATTGATGCTGAAGGCTCGTATAGGTGAGCTGTCCGTATTCAATCGGATATGAATGAGAAGGAAATTGTCTCAAATCCTACGATTTAAGACAGTCTGTAGTTTTATTGCGAGATCAATGAACACTACTGATTTTAATTTTTTTTTTCATAGTGCTAATTTGTTTTCCTTGCAGAAGTAAAGCTTTTCGGGAGACGACTGTTGAATCCTAGACACGATGTTCCAGTGACAGTAATCTCGTCATCCTTGGCTCTCCGATTTTTCAATGTAGATAATGGGTTTTTACATACACAGAGCCAGAATGCTAACAGCAACAGGCGGTGTTAGATATGAATTAACTAATGGTAACCTTGTGTCTTCCTTAAAACGAAGTAGCATGTTGTGTTATAGACACTTATCTTAATCCGAACTACGTTGGTATTATGGGGTAGTATATGTCTTCGTTTGGCAGTGATAGGATATGGCAAGCAGACTGCGAAAGTAGTCGTATAATATTGTGCCAATCATACTGTGTTGCGTATATATTGTTCAGTAAATTTCTTAGGATAGTGTTGGGGTTTAATTGAATTCTATATTAAGTAAGTCTGAGCTAGGAAATACTTCTTCAGAACAGGTTCCATACACATTCCAGTGATCTGAAATACTTTCGGAGTTTAAGAGAGCATATTAAAAATGTGCGCACTAGAATCATATGGAAGACCAGCTATGCCATTAAGACACGGAAAACACACATTAGCTTCGTTTGTTTTTAATTATCACAAATTTATATTCCATTGTTTCGAATCGTAATGAACATAAACAAACGAAATTGAACAACAAACGAAGCGTGGACCCAGTAACATCTACGGAAAACGCGAACGCTAAATCGTGAGGAAAAATTTCATTAAAAATAAATTGTCATAAATTATTCGGCATGTCTTGCTCATTTAACCGTCAATGACCTGTATTCCCAGTCGCTTACACATATCTGTTTGACACTCGTCATTTCAAAAGGGAGACACAAGCGTAATTTTTTTCACAGTACCATATAGCGAAGGGCGAATATATGAGTGATTACGATATACAGTAGTAATATTTTTTTTTTTTTGTATATGATTATTGCAATAATATCACTGCTTAGAAGTACTATGTAATGCTTTCGTAAAGGACAATTGTTCGGTTTTCAATTAATTAAGCTAATGAAATCAATTGTACAGTTTTGGTATTTAACTGCAAGTTATTTCTTAATCGGTCGGTTGAAGCATAACTGTACATACCTTAGTGTTAGCTACTGTTGGCGACAGCGTTATAAGAATGGATGTGGCGAAAACAGTGCAGTCGAGTGGGGGCCCCGAAAACTTGCGAACTCGCTAATATAAAAATAATACAAACATTAAAAATTAAAATGAATAGTGATAACTGTATCTTACCAATTCTCTTCGACTTAATCTTTCTCTTTGTTACCGTCAGCGAACGACAATCCTAGAATGAACTTGGTTTCATTTTAATACTGGTCAGGTAATTTCAGTATTCCGTGCACACTAGCGTCAAAGGTGTACCTACATATGCATCTATTTTATTTTTGTTTAGAAATGTTGATTCTTTCTACTCTATTCAGGGCAATAGCATCGACAAAAATAATAAAAAGAGACCACTAAGCATCTTGCAACGTTTCTCGGTTCTCAATAAGTATTATAATCATGTGGCATTATTTTAACGACTACTTGCATGGTCAAGCTCCTGTTTCGTGTCCCGCTAACGACAAATAACTGGTACACAAATTGTGCAGATAAAGAAGATGATCCTGGTTTTAACAAGATAACTTCCTTTTTTTCTCTACTTATAGATTGCTAACATCCACGTTGAGAATATAGAAATTGCGGAACAGAACATATTACATAACCTATGTGAACAAAGAACAGGTTGTATGGGCAAGCTGCTTTTGAAATATGAGTGTTTTCGTGTAAGAAGTATGGCCAGAATCTGTGCAATATGGTTCGGCTGTTCGATTGATTTCTATTGATCACGCGTACATGACAAAAATATTTCTGTTTTTATTTGATCGATATCACGGTAGTTCTATTCTAATTCGATTTACCACACAGCACTTTAGCGAAGCTTCTATGAAAAAAATTCAAAGCTTCTGTTTTCGCGCGCTGCACCACGTGCGCATATGTTTGTTGTCTGCTAGTTGATGATCATTGCCGTGGTGGTGTTCCTTCGCTTTGGTAAACCAACTCAGCAAGCGCGTGCATTCTCGTGATTTGCTCTCTCTGCGACGTACACTGCAATTCCGATGGCCGACGAAGTAAATCCTAAGGCCTATCCGTTGGCCGATCCCGGTAAGATTGAGAAATTACGGTTATATATATATACATATCGTTATTTATCACTGGTTCGCGTTGTAATTGTTTTGATATTATGGCTTGAAGACACCTATATAATTCGAACATGGTATGTTCGTATACTAGCATAATGGCGGATGACACCTAGCGTGTAGGTCAGTATTTACACCGATTAGCCGATTGGGCGCCACTCTTCACGCGGTGTGATGAGAGCTTTACTGAAGTAGAATGACATCGATTGATTGTCGCCAGGTGAAGTGCTAACACGTGGCCGACTTTGGTGTAACCGGGCGACCGCATGGATAGTCGTTCCATAATGAAGAGCAACTGCACTGGCCAACAAACGAGCCACCTTTTGACTTTTTCGTGTATTATTTGTGACGTATTGCAGTTTATAAGACATAGTCTGAAGGAGACTTTGTATTAAGCATCTTAGATACTCTCCATCAAAAGTCTAAAGCAATGCCTAACGGCTCAAGTGCCGGACGTAAAAAGCGACAAACATTTTGTTTGTGTTATTTTTAGTAAAGACGTCTAAAAAAAAAGTTAGCGTGAAAAATATGTTTGAAATCCTTGATAAAGGTTTTGCGCGGGTTCTTCTTACTGATGGAAATTATTTGCTTACTATAGGAACTCTATAAGATGTATCATGCTTTTGTTTTATGGGAGAAGTCTTTATTTTGTTATAACAGTAACATGTTATTTTGTAATAATAATGCAGATCTGTCCACGAAAATTCTCAATCTCGTGCAGCAGGCCACAAACTACAAACAAATCCGTAAGGGAGCGAATGAGGCGACAAAAACCTTAAACAGAGGTAAGCGTCAGCAGTGTTTTTTGGCTAGGTACTTTGTCATAGCGGGTTAGTGCGATCTGCTATCTCAATGCAACCAACTATGAAGGAGACGGTGTTCACATTTTTTGGTGATGCTCAAGTATGTTGTTTCATTTGATCTGAACCGCGCTTTCCTCGACAAATATACTCGCAAAACGCTATTAGTAACAGACTACTAAAAAGACATCTTTGACAGCGACATCTGTTTGATCCTCTCGCCACCCACAGTAACCACTTTCTGTCGCCACAGAGTAACTTGTTAACAACTGTCTTTACTTCATCCTCCCATATTTGATGTTACATACAGGCATTTCAGAAATGATCATCATGTCGGCAGACGCTAATCCCATTGAAATTCTTCTCCACTTGCCGCTCCTCTGCGAAGATAAGAACGTGCCATACGTGTTTGTGCCGTCAAAGACTGCCCTGGGTCGTGCCTGTGGTGTTTCGCGTTCTGTAATCGCCGTGTCTGTTACGACAAACGAAGGTTCACAGTTGAAGCCTCAGGTTGAAGCTCTGCGCGGCGAAGTCGAGAAACTTCTTGTGTAAAAACTGTCCAAAGGCAACAAGCCTTTGTGTATAAATCAATGAGAAAAGAAGCATGTACAAAGTGTGAAACTCGTGTCAGCTGCCAGAAAACATTACATGGAGGCCGGGGGTAGAAGGGCTGTTAATTACTGAACGTATTCATTGAGTCAAATTAACCATTGTTCAGCTAGCACACCTGTTCAGTATTCGAGCCGTGGTGGTCATTGGCGGAACGCGTAGTCCGAAACTTGATGTGTAGAAGCTATTTTTGCAGCTAATAGTTAGTTATGTGCGGAACTATATAGAACCAGGAGACAGCGTTAGTTTTTCGGTATTTTGTGTACTCAATATTAATCTTTATGTTCAAAATAAACATTTGTACCAAGGAAATGGGAAAAAATGCATGATTTCCGGCTTTGAGCGGGTTACTGTTGGCAATGATAAGCTGCGAGGCTAATGGAACCAGACGGTCATCCTGAGAACGTATTCAGGGAAGGATGTATAACTTCAGATAAATAAAGCACTTGGTTGTTAAGTATTTGTTAGTTGTCTTCTGTCTCTAACTAGCCAAGTGATATAATCTTTTATGGAGTAACTCAATCATCAGAAAATAGCTGGAAATGACAAACACTTTGTTTAAATCATACACTAGTCCTAGCTAACACAAAACCAAATTCTCTAATTATTAAAATTCTCGTCTGCCACATTAGAGAACCGCATGTTGTATACGCCAAAAAACCGCAACACGAGTTTAACTTATTCAGTGTGCAGTTGATGTAAAATGCAAGTAAACAAGCTCTTACTTTCGAAACAACGAAAACGAACGTGTCTCTGTTGCTGCAAAGACTTCAATTATCCTAAAAAGAACCGAGCCTTTAGAAACACAACCCGTAACACATTTTGATATTTGCCTATCTATGCAGTTCACTTATTGAGTTTAGAATAGTTGTTGTCACAAGTTATATCGCATCCTCATAACAGCTGACTTTATTTTTTAGACGGCACTTTTTTTTAAACATTAGAATGCCGTTTACAAAATGCGAGGACTATATAGGACTATATATATATATATATATATATATATAAAGATTTTGGCATGACAAAGTTTAAAAAAACAATGTAAATGCGATCGTCGGGCCTTGTTATAAATTTGAAAAGCGACATCAGGAACTTCTAAAGCAGATTTAATATTTTTTGTAACATGAATGGAAATACTCAGTTTAGTGTTGATACCGCCTTACCATAACGTGTTTCGTCATAGTAATGTCATGCTGTCATTTTGTAGAGATCATTGTAAAATCTCATAAACGACTTTTTGTAATGTATATACGTAAGTTTTATTTGCTATAAGTGTGTAAATCTTTGAAGCAGAGAGCCAATAATGGGAGGATTATATAGCGCGACTTCATTTCAGTGCCAGAGTTTCTATTACAAGGGTAGGAATTCGTTCATGTTACCGTTTCATCATCACTATTTCGTGACTTCAACCTTAGTAATAAGTGATAATTTACATAACTCAGTATGCCTTAAAAAGCTAATGTACGTGCACTGGGATGTTTCCTTCTTATTTGACCGTAAACCACCATGCTAACCAACTGTATAGTGATGGCAAGTCCTTTCAAGAAATCATGTTGGCTTCACATAAACTTTCAGCATCGAGTTGTTATCACAATTTTAATGTTGCTTAGAAAATTCTTCCTTAATTGAATACCTCAATTCTATGTCGAAGCAATTTCGTTAATGTTTGCGGCGAGCCTTTCGAGAAATTTTTGCGGACAATATCTTAGCGTTATCTGGGCTAGTTTGCATTTGCTAAAGGTCCAGGAAAAACGGTAAAATCTTTGCATTTTGACTTGTCAGACGATGTTATAACAAGCTGCAGATTAACATATGGCTAAATGTTCGCTATAGGTTCGTCGTAGCAAAACCAGTTCATTCGTTTTATAGCACAGTCAAGTCCGCTTTACAGCTTGGGAAAAACATTAGTTTCAAATCTAAGTTTGTTTTTTATGGCTAACACTCCATAATTGGCATACCTGTAATGGGAATTATTGGTAAAGGGTGTCTTAGAAATCTCTGTCTCTCTAGCTTTTACGAGAATATCCAAGAAAACTTGCTTATTGATAGAAAAACAACAAAGGACATTTATAGAGTTTGATAGTATTATATCTTAAAAAAGTGCTGCTAATATTGATTTTCAATGAAGTATGCATGTTATACGTAAATTGCCTAATGAACATTTAGGTTTGTTTTTTTTCGATTAACTGAGGAGTCCCTCTTTGTTATTGATGTGATCTGTTTAAGGGCTAAATCTTAAAAGACTAATAAGTTCATAGGAAAGATATATTAACTATAAGAAGAAGATAGGCCATATTTTGGCAGGTTTTTTTGCATTCGATTCAGCAGTTACCAAAAACGGCGACATATAATATATGATAGTAAAATATTTGATGATATCCATAATAAATATATAGTCATACGGATATATTATTAATAAAAGCTATCATACCTTTAGGTTTCTCTAAAGTGGTAATACAGGTTTGATTTCACATTACCCCATTCAGTTTTCAGCCTTCTAGTTTCGCATTATGTTTCTCGCTTTCCTGTTATAATTCTTAAAATTTTTCTCTAGAAACGGGTGAACGTTGAATAGCGTCAGGACACCCAGTACATTATTCTTTGTAACCCCCAAAAACTGAAAAAACCAAACTATCACGAACCGAAAAGTTGCTCGATAGGAGTTTTTGAACCTGCTGATGATTTTACTCTGTTTGATCCTATTGTAGTTTTACTTGAATTTCTCCGATGATTCATCCATAAAGTACAGGTGAGTCGAAACCGGCAACAAAATAGACGGAGAGAGAATGCACGCGGCGTAGGTAGATTCGTCTAATTGGAACCTTTCTCTCCGGCACTGATAGACCGGCTCTGATGGGCTTGTTACTCGGTACCTGGCAGCCATTTAATGCTGGTAGCACTCTAGACTAGTCCATACACCTAGAGCCCGCAATCATTTCATGTTGTTCTGATGTTTATTGCAGGCCCACTGCACTAAAATGAGCTTCATCGGATGTTGATTCATGCATTCTCGTATAGAAGCTTTCCCTTCTAAATTACTCCATTCAAGCGAATAATTCTCTGATCATCAGAAGCACGTGCGTAAAATAAGTTTTAATGATGACAATCTCGGTTGCAACTTCCAATAATCGTGCGTTTATCTCACTTTAATTCGGACTAGGTAGATGGGTGTTGGGCACATCAAAATAACACGGCTTTAACTAAAACATTTTAATTATTATTATTATAAGAGAACAACGACTCCACAAAGTAGGCATCTTCTTCGGCTAGTTTTTTCTGTTCCGACTGAGCCGTATCCGTACAATATTTCAGGTACCGTTGTAAATGCTTTTGGTTACTGCGCTTTAGTGGCAGCACGTAAACACTTAACTCGTCGATTCTGTTGAGAGATTTTTTTCTTTTTTGCGATTAGCTAAGGCTCTATGCATACAAATTTCATGGTTCACAATTTTGCGCTAGTCTTTGTGGCTTCGGCTAGAAGGCGGGTCGGGCATCCATCTCTCAATTAAGGGTTGTGACATCTCTATACCGCACTCCACCTCGCACCCCGTGCGCTCATCAAGGTGAGGTACTTTGAATGACGACACCTTGCTCGGGCATCAGTGTCGGACGCGAAGACTTCAACAAGCCAAGATCTCTCCTCTTTTGAGCTCCGGAACCACCAATCTCTGCCTTGCGCAACATGCACACATATATCTTTGAATTGCAGCCTCTCCGAAGTTACGGTAGCAAAGGTAATGCGGAAAGACCAATACAATGTCAACCCGCTACCTGGAGAATAGCGATTACCCGGAAGAGCTGCTTGAATCAATAGATTTCTGATTGGCTTGTTAAGCACCGACCAGAGCAAAAAAATAATTGATTTTTATTGAATCAAGATAGCAGCGTTATTTTTAACCGGAACGAGTATGCCTCCTAATTTATACATCATAGTATTTATTATACGATTTCTTACATATAAGAAAAGGCAGCAATTCGGTCACTTCATAGGGTATAACAAATAGCTTATGAAATTTCATACACTTCCCTGTCGTAGCTTCGAGACAAAACATTCAATGAAAATTACGCGTTTGATATAAGCCAAGTTTTGTAGCTGTGCGAGTTTACCTGTAAAACTGTGCAATTCTTTCACAAGGTGTGCTGGAGACAATTTAGCCTTATTTCGACATAGCTGGATCTGAATTAAGGTACTTTATTAACACCTTCATTCATGTTAAACCTAGCATGATCGGCAGTATCAATCATTACCTAGGGGATTAAGCATTCAGTTCAAACTAAATTTGTCTAATTATTGTTATATAAATGATACATTTCTGTAAATTTGTACCTTGAAAATCTTTCGATATTGTGCCTCTTTTTGTATGGGCTTCGGGCACCATTTAGGTTGTTAGAATTGGCGCTCCCCCTTACAGTTGTGTGAGGTGCGAAACCAAAACTAGACATACTTCGTTTGTGCTGAAAGAGAGCAGTCGGAGGCAATGCTTAACAGCAGTCAAGCATTGGCTCAAAAATCACAACATTTATCAGAATGGGCTAAGTAAAAAATTTAGTCAGAAACATTTAACGTGTAACTTAAAGTAACACATTCAATCAATAGAATAATACGCCGATTTCAGAAATACCTGCTTTACAATATTTACAACAATGCATATATTCGTAGGAAGTGACGTAGATAAGATGATCAGCGTTGTGGCGTCCAGAGTCAGCTATAATTGTCAAAGTTGTTGCACAAAAACAAGTCTTGAGGCTCGTTTTCGTTCCTGGTTCTGCGTTTCTTATTTTATTGCGAGAGCATATGCTGCCAGCAGCAGAGAGCGGACGTTGAGTAGAACCGGGCGAGCCAACAGAAGCGTCAGGCTTGAGATGCATACATAAATCGCTTTCAGTGCCCATGCTAGCGAGAGAACCCACCCTTTCTCGAAGCTTTCCTACATCTTCTGGAGAGAAAAGAAAGAGAGAGAGAGAGAAAAAACTGCACTCGTTGAATGAAGCGCAGACAAGGGTAATTAAAGGGAGTATGCTGTCTTTACAACTTACCCTGACGGCTGCTCGAAAGCTGAAAAAAAATACACAGGAATAACGGCAATACTAACAGTATACGCCGTGATAGAGGGACGAATTTAATTTTTGCGAGAAGACGTCGGTTGTTTTTCGTTTCTGGAGCCCAACAATCATTCGACCCGAACAACGACTGTAGACCGTTAAACCAAGAGGAGTGAGAACTGTCTATGGAATTTTTACATAACACATAGAGTAACTGCTTTCTGAATGGTCACCCGGCCTGTTTGAAACTGATCTAAGCTAGCAGGCAAACGACGTTGGCGGCGGCGGCGGCGGCGGCGGCGGCGGCGGCGGCGGCGGCGGCGGCGGCGGCGGCGGCGGCGATAGTAAGCAATCAATGGAGCTAATGGTAGCAAATTTTCGACGAAGGGAATATAACGTGATTCCCTTACGGTTGCC